AGAAGAAGAAGAAGAAGAAGAAGAAGAAGAAGAAGAAGAAGAAGAAGAAGAAGAAGAAGAAAAATGGCTCCATCCTCAGCTTTTAGCAGGATCAGCAATGTGGTAAACTGGGAAATGTGGCATTGTGTTCATTTTTGCTGAATGTGTGTGCAGGATTTGTGCCGAAAAGTAAATTTGTATTTGCTCAGTGTTAATTTTGTTGAGTCAAAACTGTAGATAGAAACCTACCACGATTATAAAGATGGTACTAAAGCTGTCAAATCTTATGCATGCAAAAAAAGACTCTGACCTTGATCTATCCGTGCAGCAGCTATGCTGGACAGGCCGACACTTTGACCTTTACACTGAACATAGTGACAAACAGAGCATGTCTCATTTGAACCACCTTGTTACAGGAATTAATAATCAGGAAGAGGTGCTTGTTTATTGTAGTAAAAAAAACACAAATGAGTGCACTCCTGGATATTCATCTGCAATGTAAATTAATTCACACTGCTAATAATGACAGCAATAATCATCAGTGACCATATAAGCGGTTTTTTAATGTGGCTCATTCCCTGTAAAGTATCTAATGTAACACTAATCCGCTACTTAGCCAGGAAAATCCTGACCATCATAATCCCCCAAGTTCTGTGATATAATAGAGCCTGGGCTGAAGTCCTGTAACTGATCTGTTGAGATTTCAGAGGATTATCACACAAATCTTAATCTGGTATTACTGGTGTTACAGTAGTTGAAGGTTCAGGCCACAGAGCCCCTTAGATTACCAGAAGTCCACAATTCTTTCCGGATGGGGAGTGTTTTCTCCCTGTGTGAAAACTAACTCATTGATTGACCAACAAAAAGCACAGGGAGACGGAAAAACCTGCCGACTATTCAGGAAGTTAAAGTCGCACAAGTAGCAGCTGGGAGCAAATCTTCTCTGGAGCAGTGCAGCAACTCTGCTGTTTTCCGGGACAGAAATGTTGCATCAGTGCATCGCCTTTAGACGTCTTTGTCCCCAACCTTAGCAACAAAAGCTCTGCTGTAGTATTTACATGATGCTAGCATGAGATCTGTGGCTAAATGTGGCAAGGTGTGTTCTTTCTCTCTCTACTACCCGCAGTGCGCTCAAATTCCTGTTAGACTCATAAAAAAGTGTGTTTGAGGTCAGTTGAAGTATTGCAGGCTTTATCCTGGGCTTGCAAATGGATTTATCAAAAATGTGTATACTTGTGTATGTCATTAATATATTCTCTCATCACACAAATGTTAATTACATAGATGCCAAAATTTTAGAAATAATAGTTAAAGACTGAAAACAAATTCAATGTTCACCCTCCAGATATTGATCAGTAATTCATGAATAAATAATCCAAAAGATAAAGCGCTTTGTTACTCATGCAAATGATCAAATTCATGCATGTTATCAGGCATCTTATATTCAGAGGTGGAAACTGAGCATTATAGTAAGTGTGAGTGAATATGAGGGAGGATGTTTAGTAAAAATCTTACACTGGTGATGACGGTTCTCCCATTTTCTGACATATGTCTTTCCACATACCCCGACGCCAGGAGATCACTATGAACAAAGAAGGAAACAGGAATTAAAGTCAGAAAATGTACGATATCCATTCAAGTGTCATTCAGTCATTTGAGCATGCTCACATCTTTATAGGATTGTTAGTGGGGAGCTTCAGAGCATCAGCCTCATAAATCAATACCAGCATGCAGACACAGGGCTATTTCCAGGATGCTAACACATAAAAAGATAATTATATAAATCCAGCTTTTGAGCTAATGTCATTTGTGTGTGTGTCTATGAGAGAAATGAGAGAAAAGAGGGACAAGCGAAGGTCAGTAAGTGGTAAAGGAAGCAGGAAAAAGCTGAATGTGAAAAAGGCAGAAAATAAATTGCGAGTGTAAGAGAGAAAGAGTGGCATAAATAAGTAGAAATTGGTCTGCGTGTGCTTTCTCAGCAAAGCTTGGCACTAGAATCCCAGTGGAGATCCACACTGCAGGCCTAGTCTGAGACAGAGATGTATGAGTTTTAACACAAACACTATAACACACACACACATACACAATCAAAGAATTGCTTGTCATGAATAAGTATTTGTCTCACAGTGAGTTTGGAATTAAGCAAAAAGTTTAGGCCTCTTATTTAAGGAGTAAGTGACCTTAACATAGACATACGCACCGATTCACATACATGAACATAAGTCTTTGTATTTATTTAAATAAATCAGGATAATTTTAAGATTACATTTACTCAGTGACACTCTAATATTTTTAAATATTCACAGGTACAAAACAGTGATGTATTTGACACAGACATTGGAAGACTTTGTCAGTGAACATGGGATCAGACTGTTCCCTATGCTGAGCAGTTTGCTGCAGCAATAAAAAGTGACGGGGAGGGGATAAAGGGAGAAAATAAGAATATTCTAACTGTTGTGGAGGGGATAACAGCAATTAAAATCTAGGAATGGGGCAGTGAAATGGACAGGTGTGAATACAGATCTTGAATAGATATTGTTTGAAAAATGACCAAAACAGGTAAACTCCAATATGTACGGATCACATATCAGACTAACCTCCACAGTGCAAATTAAGCACATCACAACTCTTGACACAAAAAATGTGCACTGTCAATAAATTCACACGCTTCCTTGATAAAGATGTTGGGTGCATGCATGAGTCATGGGGGTCGCAGGAGTGTGCTGTTAGCCTTTGTTCTTCTGGGATGTGTGTTTAAGATTCAGCGCTTGTGATCTTTATCCGGGCTCACGCTGGGCCCAGCAAGAGAGCAGCATACTGAGGCAGCCATGCGGCCACATAAGGCCTCTATAATGGAGGGCGCTGATAACAAATTTCAGTTCTAATTGTTGTGGGATTTAAATAATTTATTTGACAGACAAAGATGCAAGCCTCATTCCCATCCCCCACACTTACACACAAATGCACCTCCCTCTCCTTTATGTCGACATGACTACACACGTGTGTAGATGAACATGAGAAGGCGGAGTCTTTGTAGCAATGCTTTGATATTAAAAACACAGAAAATGTCAAGTGATGACAACTTATGCAATCACTGTTTGCAAGTGATAAATAAAAGTAAACATTTTTCTGAGTATCAGTGCTGCGTAGTTACAACATAAATGATCATCACAAGGAAATAGTTTGTCAGATTTCCTATGGCTATTAAAACAGACTTACACTCTGGATGAAAGGTCTGTTTCAGGTCGGTCATGTTGCATTCACGGAGCATCAGCCAGCTACGGGTCTGTGTGCAGTACAGCAGTGCAGCGCCAACAAGCGTTTTCTGTTTAATTCATTCTCTCTACTATGTCTGCTATGTCTTTCAGCTCATTGCTTTTTAAAATCAGTCTGCTAATTCTCCACTCAGCTGGAAAATAGTTTGCTCTGCCCCGTTACTAGCATCTGTCTGAGGGCTGCCGTCCAGCTGTCAGTCAGAGCTCGAGGAGATTTTGGAGGTAGATCCACAGACACTCCACTCTCCCTCATTTTACCACAGGAAAGCTGTAACATTTACACGGTATTCACATCACTCAGTTTGTCTCCCTTTCTATGGCAGCCGCACCCATCCAACATCTAAAAGCCAAGCGACTGAATTGAATATCTTTGGCTGTCAATCTCATCAAACTTTATCCTTCCTTTATAACGCTATGTTGTGGTTTGACTGGGCCAAAGAAATCCAGTGTGGCAGCCCAGTTGGATCTCCTAAGGGAGTCAAGTAAACACACAAACGTATTAAATTTCTATGTGGGCTAAAATTCCTCTCACGATCTTTGTCGCCAAGCACCGCTGTGATGAAAAAGAGCACATAAAGGGCTACCCTGGCAGGCTAATGCTTATGCGTGTGTGCGGGTAGATTGGCAGTAACTCAGCTTTTCGCTGCATTCCCACAGTCTCCTCAAAAGACTTCTTTTAGTACACTCAACTTCCCAAAACACGCGAACAAGAGACACAACCCAGCACTGATATTTCATCAGATGCATTCCATGTTCGTGCACATCTGCACTCAGGCACGCAAATCAGTAATTAGGAGTTTTGCTCCCTCCATATATGGATCGGCCATTTTACCTGGTAATAAAAGGGCACTGCCACACAAAGGACTGAGCATGTGCTGTGTCAGGGGTCCCTAATGAGGACGGGGGAGTGCCGAGGATGAAAAGAGGGGGAGAAAGGTGCACAAGTGCACCGGAGGAAGCATGAGGGTGATGCAGTAAGATGGAAAAGTGGATAAGAGAAATGCAAACATGAAAAGGGGTGAAGAAGGGGGTGAGGATTCTCTTTGGGGAAAGCTGCAGCTGCTTTCTCTAGCTCACCCGCCCCCATCTCATCCCCGCTCTCCCTCCCACTGAGGCCTCATTAAAAGTCTCCAGGCTATAATTCATTCACTGTCCAATCATTTGTGAGACCAGCAGCACACACGTTGGGACACCACCATCCAGGCACAATGATGCTAAGAAATCCAAAATGAGGAAATCAAAAATAGCCTGCATTGCGTTGGTATCTTGGAGTCTTTGTGGAGTCTTATTTCACAGCTTGTAATGGGTCAAATGTTGATGGGTAGTGATATCATTGCAAAAACATCCAATCAAGGAGAAGGGTCAAATTGAGCCCTTATAGCTCTCATGTCCATCCATGTATCCTTAAAAGTTTGCTTGTTGTCAATTGTGGTTCCCCAAAAAAATGTTGATTGCAATTCCTGTTACACTCCTGATAGCAAAAAATATATGCAATCATTTTTATTCAGCATGACAGAAGAGAAGCAGTAAGCTATGAGGGACAATGGTCTTTGGAGAGCTATTAGTCTGTTTTCACGCTGGGAGAACAACAGTCTTCCTCGTGTATCTGTCTCCAGTAAGTGTCAGCCCCAAGATCTCTCTTTGTCTCTCTAATCCTCCATGCTGAATTAGACGGCGCGGGATGGAGAGTAAGAAAGGGGGGTGAATGAAGAAATATGAAGAGACAAGGAGAAAGAGGACAGGGCATCATCGTGATACACCCTTAAAGTTTTCAACACAAACCCTTAAAGGACTTGCTCATGTATAAAGCCAGCTGAGTGGGAGGCTTCCGTTAGGATATTACTCTATCCATCACCATCCAGCTTCAAATATCTCACCAATTACTTTGTCCTGATGTGGAGATTTTTTAGATTCCTCAGAGAAATATTGAAGGATTTTACTAAACGGACAAATAAAAGTTTCAATTTGATGTGGAGCCCTAATACAAATCCCACTGAACCCATTACTACTGAGCCGGGACTGTGGAGTTTCTCAGCCATCTCATACGTCCAAACAAAAATTAAAATAAGCCCAAAACAACTTCTGAACTAATTTACTTTCTAACTGCTTACATCCTTGCCTCTCTTGGTTATTCTAACTTATCCCTGAGTCCCTTTATATCCACATGAAACACACTGTAAACAAGCACTCTGCCTTATACACTGGAGCAGAGCTCCACACACACTCCTTGATGTTACAACGGGCCTCTTGGCAAACACGACCTGTAATACTGTACTATTAGGGAGCTGTGCACTGGCTCACGGGTACACACATATTATTCCCCTGCAAAAGCAGAAGTTATGAGCCTCGGTGTGATTTGAGAACATGCACACTATTTCTATCTATATCTCCCACACTTACTCAGCCCACGGACAAAGAATCAAGGGTGTGTGAAGGACTTCCTCACATTTCTCTCTGTGTCCTCTCCTTTCTCTCTACCCTCAAATGTGTGTTTCATTCTCTGTTCCTCTCATTGCTCACACACACTCCCTTCCCTCTGTTTTCTCATTAAGTTTGCAGTAAATCAGAGCACGCCTCTTTGCCATGAAGGACAGACCTGGGAACAGAGGAGGAGATGAAAGTGGAAAAGGAGGAGAAGATGGGAGCTGTGCTGTATCAATGTCAGGATGTGCGAGGGAGACATGGTTGCATGATAAATGATCTTGGAACAGAACACAAGAGAGCTTTAAATTACACAGAAGTGGAGATGTCAGTCGTACCCACATGTACAGAGAAGGGACAAAAACATTTCACGCAGACATGCAGTTTTTTTAAGCTCCATGCCTGCCCACATACATTCCTGGCTGACATATTCCACTCAAAGTCCTGATGAGTGTGACATTAGCTGAGAGGCATTTCTTCAATGTGTTTATCCAGCAATATGAACAAGAGATCATTGCTCTGGAGGGTCGGTAGTCAACTTCTACACAGACAATCTCTGATGACATTTCGAGATTTTTCCAACTGAGAAAGGGCAAGAATTTCTTCCAGATGAATCATCGATGCAAACAAGGCGCCGGAGGGATGTCAAGTGTTTAATTCTTTGTTCAATAAAAAAAGAAATTGAAAAGCATATGAACATAGCTAAATTAAAGGGAACAATGATCTAACGCATCGGATGACAACAAACGTTTTCTTAGACCAGCTTAATCCAATTGAAGCAGGACGGGGCTGGAGATTATCCAGTAGCAACGTCTCACCATTATTCTGAACCATACATCACATCTTTATTGTTCATAATTTGAGGACACTCTCAGAGGCTTCTGCAAGGA